CATCCACAATTCTTCTTTTGGCGATCGCAATGCTGTCGAATATGCTTCAGCAGCCGAAAGCAGTGGTTCATTGTTCAGAATTCCTGTACTTGAGCAGGATGGCTTTGAACTGGGTGGACGAGTTGCATGGCAAGCCCCTTTGGAGTCTTTGCAGGACACTTCTTGCGAAGAGTGCTTGCTTCTTATCAAGTGGTTTGACAGTTTGACATCTAACTTCTGCAAGACGTTATCATGTTCCCACAGAGTCATAGAAACGAAATTATCTTGGTGCATCTCTGGATAGTACAGTACATCATAAGATGCAGACATTTGTATACATTAACAAAGAATTGTATACATTTGTGACATGCTATTTTGCAGTGCTTGGCAGGTCACTCATTATGCGATCTACCTTGCAGACGCTGCTGGCTGGACCGACATGTCTTGCTAGTTGTGCTCCGTCGGCTTTGAATCTTCCAAGTCGGCCAATTATCCACCAGGTCAATCTCTGCATACTAGCTTCTAGCTACTAGTAGTAATGGCCTCCAACCTACTAGCGATGGCCTCCAACCTAAAAGCGATGGCCTCCAACCTACTAGTGATGGCCTCCAACCTAAAGGCAAAGGCCTCCAACCTAAAAGCGATGGCCCTCCGACCTGATAGCGATGGCCTCCAACCTAATAGCGATGGCCTACAAAAGATTTCTGAAGTCTTGGAGACATTATTAGATCTTATTGGCTTTTACCCGCAGACACTTGTGAGAACAGCAGGTCAAGGCCGATCACTTCTTGGGACAGTTCCCCATCCAGGCCAAAACTGTTTTTTGAGATGCATCCAGATGACGCACTTGAATCTGGACAACAAAGCAACAAGTAAGTGTAAGTGAGGGAACATGGGAACGGTTAAAGGAGTGAGTGCACTTTGGGGAGTGTCAGAAACGATTTGCTCCAAAGCGAGTAAGAGTGCATGTGTGCCGACTTGTAAGTGCGCTCACACATTCTATGACTCATCCATCCGGTTTTGCCCCCCCTAGAAGTTCCTGCTGTCGTACTCGAAATGAGACAAAGTAGCATTGTTGCAAATTCATGTGAGAACCTTGCAAGGGAGATGAGCCAAAGGTGCTGCAGCTATGCAAAGGGCTGTTGCTATATGATATTTAAAGCATGTCAAGTTGTGACAACCCCCTCGTTGGTTCAGAGGTAACACAAATAGAAAGGCTTCGGGCCCAAACTTTTTTGCCAACTGTATTGGCAATTGTCAAACCCCTGGTACCCTGACCAGTTCTACCTTGACCTGTAGAGCCACGGACTAGTCAAGCTACAACGAGCATGGTTGACATCATCGTCATCATACTTATCTTCATTGTACTTCTTGTCGCTTCTTGTCCTTTTTAGGGATTGCAGGTCCAGCTTTTTGTGTGTGCTTGAACTCACAGAGACACCTGCTAATTAGTATTGGGAAGGTGTGGGCTACATAGACATGGTGCCTGACCAGGGCTTAGGCAGCTGTTCCTTGGCCAGTGCACATAAGACTTTCAACTAGCTTTGAGCAAACTCACAAGATGATACGCAAGAAGTTAAACAGCGATGTCCAAGAGTTCTTGTTGCCGTTTTCTGTTTGTTTTCCTTGTTCTGTCTAAGTCTCGACGGTTTTGGTCTACACTTCTTCACACCTGGTGGAGCAGACTACCCCTGTGGCACCTTGGACTCGGCACTGAGCAAAGATCAAAGCCATGCGAACGGATTGTTGCAACTCCAGAAAAGAGAGAGTTTTGACGCGACATGTTGCTTCGATTCTCTAAGAAAAGCGACGCTCTGAAGGTCTTTAATATCAGCGACACTGCATCCAGTGTCTCCGGAGTGGCGTTTACAGACAATGACCTTGATGAGACTTGGCATTGATGGTGTTTGCAGAATACTTTTTTGTTTATCACGGTGCCATGTGGAGTTCACCTAGTTCTTCATGTGTCCAGGCTCATGAGATTGGAGGCGATGTCTCATGGATTCCACCCAACGAAACCTCCCAGGCTAGCCATGGATTGAACTGTGTTTCTACTGCGAGGGACTTGCTCAAACATGGAAACTTTTTTTCCAGGTCACTGGCTATTCTTTATATTTGGATGGCTCCACAGTGAACCGCTCATTGGTGGCTTCCACACACACGAGTGCCTTGTTTGGAATTTGCAAGTGTATGTTTGAAGCAGTCCAATCTTTGTTTCATGTATTTTTGAGCAACAAATTGTTGAAGAGTGAAGAAAGTGAAGCCGCTAGCTGCTAGCAAAGCCTCAGGTGCCACTAGCTTGCCCATCCCCGGAGAGACTCTGCTGGGAGCCCGGATTCTCAAACTGCCTTCAGAAGCTTCAGGTAAGCTTGGAGCAGCTTGTCAATACCAGCTTGTAGTACCTGTATATACAACTACGTTCAGAAGTCCTGCTTGGCAAAGGCTTGTACCCTATGAAGTCGTCTCAGTTTACACGTTTTCTTCCTTAGCGGAGCAGACAACACCAACTAGCTTGCTCATCAGTGACTTGGTTCGCTTGGTTTGGGTCATTTTGGTTTGTACGACCTGAAAGACGAGCCTGAGACTTGCTCCACGCTACTTGTTTTCCTTGCCTTCAAAATGACAGTTGAAGATGCATTTCAGTGTACTTTGTTTTGCCCGTAGATCTTGAAGCATCAGCTTGGTGGGTCCTCTCGAAATTGCACCAGGTGACACCAGCTCAACTGTTGCGAATGTTCTCTTGGTGGACAAAGATTTGGACAATGCTGAACTGGGTGGAGAAATCACCTGGACTGAGCCTAGTGATGTGCAACAGGTGACGTTCTATGGAGTTTACCTTCAAGGCCACCAGCTGATTCGGTGGCTTTACAGAAACCTGCGCTTCAGGTTGCGCTTTGGATCGCTTTGACTTAGACGTACTTCGGATCGGTTTTACTTTGGCTTTCCCTGGAGGTGCCCTGGAAAACCGATCATTGATCGATGAGGTCCCTGTGAACAATGCGAACACTTCACTGCAGCCTGACACTGCGCTCGAGAACTTCACACATGTTGCAATCTACACCAGTGCCTTGCATGGATTGTTCTTGCTAGACTTGTGCAGTCAAGATGTCCTACCAAAACCAATGATTGAACACTTTGCATATGTTCATGGCTGTCATAGATGTCTTTCACATAATCTCCAACTGACTCAAGTTCAGTAAGCCGCTGAAAACAACATTAAAACAATCAAACCAATCCTGTTCTCTGTCAGGATCAAACCTGGTGGAGCAGAGTGTACCTGCCACCTTTAGCATCAGCCGCTGGCCTGGCTGACGTCAGAAAATGTCCGGAATGTGCGGACAATTGCGACATTTTGGGCCAGAAATGTATCAGGAATGTATGTGGGAGCATTGCCCAAAATACAACTGTGTTTTGACTGTGTGAATGTATATACATGTTTCTCCACATTTCAGTAAAGACATTTCAAGTTGGGACACAACTGGGGCGGAAGCAGCGACGAGGTGATAGCTTTGCACTGGTTACAGCTTTGGCGTTCATCGACGAGGACCTTGATGGCCAGGAATTTGGAGGTGATCTAACTTGGCAGGCACCAGCTAGTATCGATCAGATCACGCATTATGCGCCTTTGCAGAACTTCCAGAGACTCAAAAGCTTGGTATCGACAATCAAGTGTATTCTCATTCATGTGATTCCACGCTCCATGCAAGGCCTTTCGGCTCATGTCGCTTGTGTCTCAGGCTACTTACTTGGCAGACGAAGTCACCGGCACAAATCGCTCAAAACTTGGGTTGGACGTGCCTTTAGGCATAAATCAGCAATCGTTTCCAGAGGACAGCCAGAGAGGGAATTGAAAGCTGGAAATGATTGGACCGAGTTTTTGACATAAGATACGTAAGATTACGTAAGACATGGTGTTGATGCTTTTGCCAAAAGCACACAATCGAAGGACACAGCCAGACAAATCTATCTTCTTGTCTACACGAAGTCAACGTTGACCGAACAGACCACACCCGCTGCCCTCTTTGCCAGCCTGCCTGGCTGCACAAGATGCCCATGACAGAGTTGTCGTGTTTTTGCCGCAAAAGGTCCTGGTTGCTGAGGTGATTCGGCATCCCCAGTCATCAACATCACTTTTGTCGACAAGGCCAGGAATCGCAAGGAGGTGCAAATTCTTCTTGGCCAGAATAGGTCCACTGCTGCACCATTTTGCTCTATCAGCAAATACGTAGAATGACTCATGCAGAATTGGCTTTCACATCAAAGAATTCGTGAGTGCATGCGCTATACGACAAAACTAGAATGTGAGAATTGACTAGGACTTAGATGACGGCGAAATTGGCGGCAGCATTTTTTGGTATGAGCCAGATGACATTGAGCCGCTCAGCCAGACTGATGCGGGGTGGAAGAGATTGCTCAAAGTAGAATGAAGATGATGAAGATGAACAAACGCCATGTGAAGACACATGTCTCCGTCCATGATGCATCGAATATGTTCGGAGAGAAGTGCCGCGAAAGGCTTTGCGTCTAAGCCAGGCGTGTGGTGAAATACTGCGTCTACCGCTCTGCGGGTGCTGATGGCATCTTTGGTCGATCGAAGCTCTTCAACGATGTAATGCAAGGTGTCACTACAGTGCCGGTGACTGCAGAGCCTTGCCTGCAAATAAACAACATTCGTAGACCTTAGTAATAGTAATAGTAGCATCAAAAGATATGGCTGTTGTCCTGGTGTACTACATTGCTCAAACTGTTTCGACGTATAAATTTGTTCTGATCACTGATTTCCTGGATTATGCGCTGCATAGGACATGGCCATCAGCGTTTTTTCAATACATTGCAGCAACGCCCTCAGAGGGCAAAGGCAGCCAGATCATTCTGACCACGCGAGTAGCATGGGCCAGGGTCCAAAAGGGTTTGAAGATACGGCTGCTTGTATCCTTCGCAATGTCCATATTTGGGGTATTGGGGTGCCATTTGTTGCCTCCCAGCGGTATCAAGCAAGTGTTTGCTGCCAGGTTTACTCCATGTCGGCACTCTATGAACAGAGTACGCCAGAGGTGCTTGAGATCAATGACACCGTGGCGAAGGTGGGTTTATGAGAGCTGGATTATACTTGAAACTGACTTAGACTCTAGGTTGGAGGCTATCGCAATTAGTTTGGAGGCCATTGCTATTACCTGTGGCCCCTGAGCTTCTCAGGTGAACATCCTGAGTTTTACAGATCAGGACTTGGATGAAGGTCAGTTGGGAGGTAATATTTCATGGCGGCCACCACAAGACACCTCACAGGCGGGATGACCAAGAACCATGTAACGAATGAAGAGCAAACTTACCCAGTGATGCTTCCCTCATTTCAGCAGAAAGACTGAACGCATGTAGTGTAGCAGCCCATTCAAAGTGCTAGCGCTACTGTTTTCAAATAAATCAAGCCAGAAAAGGACGGCTACCAAATACTACAAATACAAATCTCTGTGAGGTGACCCACTATCGTGCGTATTTGGCGGAAGATGCAGCTGGCCATATCGAACGATCCCCGATGTTTCTGGAGACACCGGTTGGAACCAATCAGGCAAGTGTGCGGGGGGGAAACGAGGGAATTAAAACAGAAGAATGGCACAAGCAGGTTGTAAGCCCTTCCCACAGAATTGGACTCGGATCAACACATGGATAGCCCAGCACCACACCTCACAAAAGTGTATTTGGAGAGTAGAAAAGTTATTGCATGTAATGATTGGCCAGGATCTCTTGCCCACAGACAGCACCGTTGTGAATGCTACACATTTGCTGATATACACAGTGTCTTCTTTGGTGGAGCAGTCTACACCCGCACTCCAGCTGCAATTGTTGAGCCTATCCATTGCTGCAGACAGTAAGTCAATCCCATTCAATGAATGACATGTCTTTCACGAGCAGCGAGCTGAACAGTCGCATGTCTGACATGAACCAGGATTACTTTCTATTCTTCGACATGATGGCCAGCGTCTCCAACGTCACTTAAACAGCAGTATTAGTATGGCCCCTGCGGGACACAGAGAAATAAATTATTCGTTACAATCCAAAGTAGCAGTTCATCATGCACTCTACGAGGTGAAACTAGAGGCATCGCCTGGGTATGCGCGTATTTTTATAGACCCAACAAGTTCTGTGAAGGAAGTGGAAGACAGTTTTTAGACTCTGTAGACTAGAGTCTGCAGATGGTTGTAGGCCGATTGTAGGGTCTTGAACAACCTGGGGACCTGTGAGGCTTGTAGATGGATCGGAAATGATTCAGAGATGTTGAGAGGCCGAGGCCACTCAAGGTCAAACATTCTGAGACAATCAGCGTTGACAAAGGTGATTTTCCTAGACAAAGATGCAGATTTTGGACAAGTTGGAGGTGTTGTTGCGAGCTCAGCAGAAATCCTAAATCAGGAATATGTTCAAACATGGTCACTAGTAAGGTTGGAGGCCATCCCATCGCTAGTAGGTTGGAGGCCATCGCTTCTAGGTTGGAGGCCATCACTAGTAGGTTGGAGGCCATCGCTAGTAGGTTGGAGGCCATCGCTATTAGGTTGGAGGCCATCGCTTCTACGTTGGAGGCCATCGCTATTCGGTTGGAGGCCATCGCTAGTAGGTTGGAGGCAATCGCTTTTAGGTTGGAGGCCATCGCTATTAGGTTGGAGGCCATCGCTTCTACGTTGGAGGCCATCGCTTCTAGGTTCGAGGCCATCGCTAGTAGGTTGGAGGTCATCGCTAGTGGGTTGGAGGCCATCACTAGTAGGCTGGAATCTATATTGGGATGGGTTCGGTCTTTGCTATCTGAAGAAAGACTCGATGTACTTTCATAAAGAGCGTCTCAGGTTGAATGGCAAGAACCCAGTGACACCTCCAGAGTCACACACTATGTGGCCTACTTTTCACAAGATGCTGCCGGCCTGGGTAAGTCCCAGATTGGCGTCGACCTTCCTGACACTTGGTCTAGATATTTATGTCTAGATCATTGATCTAAGTTCACGAATTGCCAAGCCAAGAGCATAAACACAAATATTTCTTTTTGGGCATTGCTTTACCACTGATATTTGTTGTTCCAGACGCGTGTTGCGCACAGGAAGGCGAACTCAACGTCACAGTTCCAGCAGACACTCAACTAAGCTATGTCGACGATTCCGCTGGCTATGCTGTGGTTTTCACTCGGTCCTTTTTGACCGAGCAGACGACCCCCAGAGCCCTGGAGGCCAACTGCACATGCACGATGTCATGCATTCCTCAAGCACATGCTACACACTGCCAAAAGCGCTCTCCATCTTGTTGAAAGTAGAAATCATAGCTACCAGGGGCTTGGAAAAGTGAATTGAGTTTCGAGTTTGAGGTTCTAGAAAAGGTGCATTAGAAGCCCAACAAACACAAAACGTCACATGGCACAGCTTTGCAGGTTAGTGACACTGCTTCCTCTATCCCATACCTTCACTTCACCGACCTAGACCTGGACGAGGGGCAGATTGGTGCCAAGGTTGCAAGAACCTGCAAGCCACATCAAGCCATCAGATCTTCACTACAAAAGCGCGGTGTTCTTGCATGTTCAAGTATATCGTTTGTGCTGATATTTTGTTCACAGACGGTTTCCAAACACCGCAGTGAACGGATTTGTAGCAACTGTCCCGTCCCCGGCCGTCTCGGGCAAGACGTCCTCAAGGTGGCTACATGCAGTGGCAATCTCCGGAGGAGAATTTGTGTGAAATGTGATTCTCGTTGTTGTTTACAGTATATCGATTTGTACCTGTCATGATTCTTTGGGCTCTTTGTCCCCTTCAATTCTGAATTTGTCTATCCCTGCAGGACAATGGAACTATAACACACTACAGGCTCTACGCAGCAGAAGACGAGCTTGGCACCAACAGGACACCTTTGTTGCTTGTAGCTGTTTCTTGGTACCACAACAATCCTGGCCTAGGTATTCCATGAGCCAAAGGTTGTGTAGTAGTTACATTGTCAAAGAAACTCTCGGAACCGACTGGTAGGATTGCTTTATGTTTGAGGACTCGACTCTCGGAAGTGGCCTTCGGTACCACAGAGGCCCTTTTGCCGTGTCTCGGATTTTCAATGCGAAGCTACTCTCAATATATAGGTTTGTGTGACATCTGCTGCTGTCCTTCTCAGCGATGTTTGACCCCTTGTCCCTAGAGTTAAAGGCCAGGCGGCCACCCTGGTATTTTGAGCCGATGACTTGATGATGATTCCACGAGATAGATGAACTCTTTTCTCAAAGCTGCCTTTCTGGCAAGACATACGCTGGCCTAGTCACTGCTTACCTTCATCCATGTCGTGCTGTATGCGGCTGAAACATATTCTGGACTCAAAAGAACTGAATGCTCAACTCAACCAATTGCTCATGTTATCATTCATGCAGATGCAGATGCATTTTGCTAGTCATGCGTGTCTCTTTGAACTTGCTCCTTGCATCGTAGCAACAATATTGATATGATGTATGGGATTTAGGGTTGACTGTACCTTGCTGGTTTGGCTGAGGGCAGATTTCGATTTGCACAACTACACCCATCTCCTCATCTATGCCAAGACAGAGGTAAGTGAACAGACAGTCCCTACCTTCCATGTCATCAAAGATGAAGTCGTACCTCGGAGAGGACCAAAGTCACGTTCGATGTTCGATGGTGCTGTATTTTTGAACTGTTTAACTAACCGTAACCCTTTTTTGAGATCTCAGGAGGTTTGAGTTTGCCGCGGATCTTTTAAGGCAAACGAATCATACAATTTCATCAAACTCAAGCTGAGTTTTGCCCTGTGATTGGCCTTGCTCTCAGGCCATCGTTTCTCACGTAAATCTTGCGGACAAGGACTTGGATCCTTTGGAACTGGGCGGTACTATCACATGGCCGGGCTCATTCATGGCAAACTCTGTCGACAGTGCACTTTGTTCACAAACAATTTTTAATTAGCAATTCAGCATAGATTTCCACCAACTGTTCTCAAGAACTTGTATGGTAGAAAGGGCACATGCCTTTGGTGAACAGACCAAACCCTGCAGGTCCCTGGGCCCGTACTCTGAGTCTGTGTAACTGGAAGCATTTTTCTTTAAGATTCAGAAAGAAATGTCAGCAAACAACATCGTGTAAAGGCAAGGTAGACCTGAAAGCCGCCTGAAAGCAGAATGGAATTAGGATACCTTCGATGCCTCTATGTGCAATGCGGCAGGTCTCCTCCCGACACCTTGACACTGGTGACAGGCTACGTTGTGTATTTGGCACAAACAGCAGCAGGCCTCGGAAACGTAGCGGTCAGGGATGGTCTGGTTTTGGAGGCACTTCATATGTGAACATGCAATGCCAGATCATCCATTGTATATTCGAAACATTCTGTTTGAGTCGAAATCCCAGTAATTACCTAAGGACCTATGGTAATTGATGTTCTGTAAGGCTTTTGGAGGTTGCACATTGCTGAAACATGCTGAAACTGGTTCAGGTCCTGGTCCCGGTCCCACCCTTTAATTTGCAGTTTTTAACTAAGTGAAAATGCACACACAATGAACTGCATACCCAAGAGATTTTAAGAGCTGAATCAATCGATTGGACACTGCGGAAAGCAGTGTGGGATCTTCTACTCAGGACATTGAAGGTAGCTTGAGGGCTTTTAAGGACCTTTCTTGACCTCAGTTTGTTTGATTTTTCTGGCCAGTCCTTAAGCCATTGTTTGAATGGAAATGAATCATCATGCTCAAGGGAAGCTTTGCGGTGACCTTCAACCTTCAATAACTCGTCTTTTGGCAATTGAATGTTCCTACAGTATCACCTCCAATAGCCCAAAAACATCAACATATATACATATATATAATATCAAAACAATCAACTCATTATTTTTTCATTTTTCTTCTGTCTCTGTTTTCCCAGGTCTCAGTCACAAAAGCTGTCAAGCTTGTCCAATCCAACAACTCTGCACCAGAACGGCGAACCCACACATCCTTGTCTCTAACTTGTCTCTCCTCGTCGGCGTTTCCCAGTTCCTTCTCAGCCTCTCTTCTTTCCGACTCCTTTTCTTCAGTCTTTTCTTCTCAGTCTTCCTATCTCTTTCTCAGTCCCTTTCAATCAGTTCCTTCTGCAGGGACTGCAGACCCCAATTACCGCTATCCCGGGCTGCATACTTACTTTCCCCGACTTGCGCTGCCACTACAAATACAAACACCCAACGCAGCACAGTTGCGGCTTTGAGCCGCAAAAGCATTCGGCAAATCTGGGGCAGCTAGTCTTATACCATTCATTCGCTAATCAAGCATTCAAACTCTTTTCAAATCCGACATGTGCCACGCTTGGCTCTGTGGCCAAAATCTTCTTTAGATTAGATCTTAGCGCCGTTGGCTCCAAATTAGGAGGGTTTCACTTAGGAACCTTGCCATTCGTCGGGTGCAAGCATTTTGCTTTTCCGTTCTGTCTATGCGGTGCAGTTCCATGGCAGCATGGTGAATGGACTTCACTGCTGAATGCTACACTGCATTTAGTATTGCCACTGAAATATCGCCATGTGTTCTCCTTGCAAACAGGTATGTCAACCAGGTACACATTCTGAAATCGCTTGAAATCGAGGGCGGAAGGCTTTGGATTCAGCTGCAGTGACAAGCCTATTTGGACCGGGCTCCTGGCCGTACTACTAGGAGCAAGGATGCTACTAGGGACACGGTCGGACAAATCCAAATTCTGCAGAAATCCTAAAGCTGATTCCTGAGACATCCTGAGACTCTGGCGCCGCGAGACTCTCAGACATTTACAGGAGTATGAAGCAAACATACAGTGTACATATATATATGTGTGTGTATGAGGGTTTGCTCAAGCACTTGCTTCTTACAAAGATCAAGCAGTTTTTCACAATTTTCATGTCTAGCCAAACTATCCACAGTACAATCCTCAAATTCTGCTCGAAGAGAGCGGTGCGTTTGTGATATCAGATCAAAGGAACTCAAACTGACATTTGCTTTCTGTTCTAAAGTCGCTTTACCAAACCAGCTTTTGTCTGGAGAGAGTCATTATATAGAGGTTTTGTATTTTCACTGAAGCACAATCGTGCAGTAATATACCCGCCAGCCGCATTGTGTGCAAGGGCAGGTTGAACAAGCTTTAGAGCGAAAACTGATGACAACATGTTCCAATCCTTTTGTTGGTGCCTTGCCGAGCGGTCTTCGGCATTTGACTGTGTTGCCCTCCAGTGTCCAAAAAGGTCTTGGTCTTGGAGCCATTGGATCTTGCGGGAGGATCCTGTGTGTGAGGTTTGGTCCTGAACAGTACTTACAACTGCTACCAGTGTAGGTAACTGTTGTTCTCATTGTCATTTCCACGCAGGGCACCAGCTTCTGTTTCAACGTTCAAGCTTTGGGGTTCTCGAAATCGGTTGCAGTCTGGTAGTTGATGGAATCAGGCACTTAAGGATCGAATCATGCTCCAAGCATGCGACTCCAATGAAATTGTTTTCATTCAAGATCAAACACACACAACCCCCCCTTTTTTTTTTTTTCTCTCTCTCTCTCTCTCTTGAATCTCTCCAGCGGACTCCAGCGATCTATGACACCTTCTACACAACCTACTGATGGTTTCCCTACCAAATCGGAAATTAGCTCAAAAGCTTCAACTTTGATTCCGAGAAAATTTGCTGGTTCCCTCAGCGACCGATAGGTGCAGGAGCTTCCCACAACCATCGCATGACAGGTATTCGCCCCGGCCTGGCTAAATCCTTGAGAGGTCGAAATCAACGGCTGGCAACAAATCAACAAATCTGAAGGGGAGCCCCCCGAACTGAGGAGCTTAACAACTGGACTGGCCAAACTTTACATGTTGGTCGCAGGGGCAATAGCGCTATCGGTGACGCTTAGCGGAGGTGCACTGTTGTCTCTCCCATTTTGAGCCTGTACAGGTTGACACCCCGGTCCCACAGAAAATCGCAATGTGGCTGACAAGACTGACAAGACTGACATTGCCCCGTCACGCACCGAGCAGAAATGCAAAAGGGCATTTGGCAGTGACACCACAGCGCGCAAAGGTAAACATCCCAGTCAGAAAGCCTAATAGCAATGGCCTCCCCCTAAGAGCGATGGCCTCCAACCTACTAGCGATGGCCTCCCATTCAGAAAACAAGATTAAAGAAATCCCATTAGAATATCGAATTAATATTCCGCTTTTGGCTGATCGGGGAACCCGACAAATGTGGCCAGGTGCAGAGCGAGACAACGTGAATGGATTCATATCAGTGGCCACCTCAGATCTACTTTCGAAAACCCTTTTCAAGACTCAAGGCGCTCCACTCTTCTTGCTTGTAAAGTTTGACCGTGAATCTGTCAAAGAAAGAAGACCGTTTTTTTTTTCCGAAAGAACTACATCTAGCATAGGTGGTGAGCATAGGTTTGGAACAGACAGCGGTACCGGTAGTTGTGATTTGCCACTTGGCCTCATTCTCAGTGCCAGGTTGGCAGTAACTTTGTCGATCTTGAGCCTGAGAAAGCCCAAAATGCCTCTGAATACGTGGTGGTGTTTACGTCTTCTTCGCTGACTGAGCAGACAACACCAGCATTCTTTGCTTTAAGCGATTCCTCCTCCCAAGTACTGAGTATAAACTTTACAGTTACTTGGCAAATCTTGGCAGAACTGTGTCGTGTGAATGTGCGTTCAGATTTCTTGACAGACAGCCTCGACAGATTTCTTGTACTGGAAAGCGAAACGATTGAGACACGGTCGGCCGCTTTCGGGAGGATTTGGACCTGGACCTCGGCGACTTGGGAGGAGAAGTGGCGTGGCAGCCTTCCCTCGACGTTGCCCAGGCAAGGAACGCAACGAGCGCGGAGATGCAAAGGCGTTGAAGATACGATTTACATCGCATTTTTGTCCACAAATCGTGTTACAGATTTTCATGTGACAAGTAGACAAATGTAGCTGGAGGAAGCACTTGCTCCGTTTGACTTCAGTCGCTTCAGTCTTCTGAGTCTTTTGGTGAAATTTGAACAACTCCGTTTCTAAAACCGAAAGCAGGCGTCCTATTTGTACAGCATATGGAAATGTAAGCGGCACAGCCGAACTGAAGTGTTGACCGTTGTTTTGCGGCGGCTGGTCATATGATTTTGCTGTGTTGATGTGAAGATGCGGGGCTCGTGGGCCTTACTACTAGGAGCAAGGACGCTACTAGGGGCTCCTGGCATCGCTACTAGGCACAAGAAGCTTCTAGTAGCGATGCCCTTTGCTCCTAGTAATCTTTGGCGCCGTTACGTGAGTTTCATGTGGCGAAGAGGAGTGTGTACCTGTGACACGTGTTTTGAATTTATTCTCTAGAAACTTAGCTTATACCGCTCGATAAGACTTTTGGTACCTTTCCCTAGAAGCCTCTACTTGTTAGCATTCTTCTATAGTACTTATAGAAGAATATAGGGCTTCTAATTGCATTTTGTTTTTTTTTCTAGACATTCCTGGTTCTCAAAATTTCTCTAGCTTGAGCAGCTCTGATAATGCGTTTGAATCCTTTGCTTCCATTCCCCTATGAAACTGCACCACTGCCTATCACCATCCGCCAACCTTCCGCGCTACCGACATTTCGCGTTTTGAAGCATTTTCAAGTTCAAATTTTGCACAGATCTGTGATGAGGCTGGGGGAACGCACCTGTGCCAGCACGCCACGCCATGCAACTCACACAAGTTTGGGACCCTGCTACCCCCCCCGACCTGCTTCTCATTGATCTTCCTTTCCTATTTGCCCGCACTCATTGGTGCGTGTCTCCAAACATGCGCAACTCTCCAGTGGAACTTCAACGCAACTCGGATCTTTCCGACTCTTGCTTACCTATATTGCTGTTGCTTGTGCTACTCAACTAAAAGAACCATGTGTTTGAAAAGATGTCAGGGGCAGGTCGCTGTTTCTCGGCAGGTCACGGGGTACTTCATCTACTTCAGTCCTGCTGCGGATGGAGCTGAAAGATCCTTGCTGGGCAACACATCAGACTCTGCGACTGGGCACTACACAGTGCAGTGACCATGTGAAGCTATTTGCTGGTGTTTCTTGCAAGTAAGCTCTGGGTCGATACCGTCCAGTTGGATCATTCTCGTGGGATGATTCATGTACGTTGAATATAAAGGCATTCTGAAGAGCACCATCAACAGCTAGCAGCTAGCAACAACATCCTTTCAAGGGCCAAAGGTCGTTGTGGATTTTCTCAGGTGGATCGTATTGGCTTGTCGCACAACCAGAAGACCGGGACCCTGCGGCACGTCTTGGTTTATGCTTCATCTTCTTTGGCCGAGCAGAGCACACCACTGTCCTTGCCCTTCAATGAAGCTCGGACAGACGATCAGGCAACCCATAGCAAACCATAGCTCATGAAGACAACATTTCTTCCAACCTGCGGTTCACTGAGATGCTGAGCCAGAGAATATGCATAGCGTTGCACGGCTACTTAGTTCGCTTTCTTAGCAATCCCAAGGACACAGATTCCAGTGTCTCAGCTGTGAACTTCACAGATCGTGACTTAGATGCTGAAGAGCTTGGAGGTGAGCTCCTTGGAGATCGGTGTCAGATCGGTAAGCTGCCAAGAAATGCTTCAGCATCGACATGGCTTCTGAGGTTTGATCAGTTGGGCACAGCCTGAGGATGCATCGCTAGTGACCCATTTCTTGGTGTACCTTGCAGAAGACCAGCAGGGCAGCAATCGCTCGCAGGCGCAGCAGCGCAGCCTGCAGACGGAGATGTTGTTCACGGGTCCCCATGTGCAAGCTGCGCAAGCTTCACAGTTGCCAGGTGAGCGAGGTGCACAGTGTGCGTTTTGAGTCCGATTTGGCACCTGAAGAAGCCCTGAGAGAATCTCGACTTAAATCATTTGACTCTTTAAAGGATCGTGTTTCATTGACTTTTGAATGATTTGCCTTTTGGATCAAGATCTCTAGGATGATCTCAGCTTGTCCAGTCTAGGACTATAGCCATATTCTGGTCTACACCAAGTCTAGCTTGACGGAGCAGACGACCCCTTCAAGCCGCTTGACATGAACGTATACTCGCCCTATTTGCATGGCCTCCTTAGGGTGTTTGCAGAAGCTGTTGGAAGCTGTGGTCAGGCGTGCATGGTCGATGTTTTGCCTGGGTCTATTCAACAGACTTTAGCAGCACAGCTGTTTTGCCCAAAATTTTCACTTTTTAGTGGAGCAGGTACAAGCCAGAGCTGAGGCCTGCCTATCACTGACAGCAATGCGTCGGTCACTGTTGCGCAGTTCATCGATCAGGAACCCAAAGGATTCAGAAGATTTCTTGTGCAACAGCCCAAGGGATCCAGGATGGTGTTCGAGTGTATTTCTCAGGACTTGGACGCCTATGACTTGGGTGGACCAATCACATGGCAAGTGTTGGGCGATGAGACGCTAGTCACCCACTACGACATATATTTGGCACCTTGCTGTTGATCGGGCCATGATGCTCTGTATTTTGGACAATACATTCTCACAATGTAGAATCAGTAAATCAATTTTTAGAGCTTGGTTGGATATCCTCTTGTACTGACAGACTGTCAAGCCGACTGTCAAGCCGATGACCAAAGTGAACGATGCAGTATGACAAACCATGACAAACATTAGGAGCAAGAAGCTAATTGTAGCTGGCAACATTTTTCCAAACCGACGAGTTGAGTCGACTTCGACACCAATTTCCTTCGACACCATTTTTCCAATCGTTCCACTTCGGTCGAGAGAACACCGACTTCGGACGAGTTGAGTCGACTTCACCAATTTCCTCGAATGGGTTCCAATCGTTCCACTTCGGTGTCGACTTCGAACACCGACTTCGGACCGTGACAGATTCACCGATCGGACCGTGACCATGTGCTCCATGGTCGTTGAGGTGTCCAGCGTATCCGCCCGCGGGAGCAACCGCTCGCAACTGGGCACTACTGAGGCGCTTGATTTGGTGCGCCAAGCCTTGCCAAGCTTTTCCTGCTCCAACGATCTTCGAGATTCTCCTTAACAAGTCTACACTTGCAATACTGTTCTTAGGAATGCTAAAACAAGACAGAAGTGTTCAGAATTCTTTTGGCAAACAGCGAATGTGTTTTCAGGTGGGTACAGACTTCATCGACGTGCCTGTAGACTTTGTACATAATGATACGGCGACCACCGAGATCTACACACGTTCCTATGGACGCACTCCAACGCATGCAGAGGCCCTTTCAAACCATTTCAATCGTTTGTGTTCTTGCCCATTCATCTTGAGGTTCTTCACTCGTGGAGCAGACCACCCCATATGTTTTTGTCGCTCGGTGACCGAAAGGGACCAAATCATGAAATCGATCGTTTGTGCACTTAGGCGATCAACAACACCAATTCCAGCGTCTCGAACATCGTCTTCCTTGATGATGACTTGGATGACGATGAGTTAGGAGGGAACATTTCATGGCAGCTGCCAGAAGATCTCTCCCAGGCAACCTGGATGCATTTGTTCTTCACCAATGGGGAATCTTTCCTTAAGCCATTGGCAGGTGTCTCACTACCTTTCCTACTTGGCAGATGACAGCAACAGATCACAGAAACTCAGCTTCCGACTTTGCAAATCTTTACTCTTAAGGCATTTTGGCACCGTGGCCCTGCTGGCACTCTCGCTTTGAATAAAGCTCCCAAACGCCAAACAGAGGAACACGTTATCACTTAATGTGTGTTTTAGGAGTGTTTCAACCCGTTGGAAGTTGTTTGTCAATGCCAAGTCGCTGCACAGGATAGGCTCTGCACTGAGCGTCCAAATGGATCCCATCTCTTTCTTGGAAGCAGAACAGCCGCAGCTGAACTACACACAAGTCTTGGTATACACCAGGCGGAAAGCTTGTTTTTTTTGCAGAATAGAGCAGATACTGAGTTGGAACTTGGAGAGATTGGCTGATCCAAAGTGTCTATACAGGGATTTGTTTGTGAAGCTCACATGAGCTATCAGCTGCTAGAAAGCTGCTGATGAGGCATGTTTGAGGGGTTGATCCTATCAAATAAAGTTGCACCGCGTCAGGTCTGTGTTGGCAGAGCAAACCAGTCCAGCGGTCACAGAAATCAGTTGCAAAGCTGCAATAGACGTTGAATACGTTGCAACTTCCGCTGGTTTGTTTTTGCAGATTGCAGAAGAACTGTTTGAAGAACACAAGCCACCCAGGCGATACCTTTGCGACTGTCCAATCGCCCAATTTTACGGACCAAGACCTTGATGAGGAGGACTTAGGTGGCACGCTGTCTTGGCTTGAGCCAGTTCCTTGGCTCCAGATCTACGACGGAGCCGAAGTTTCGGGGCTACATACTGTACCTAAGGTACCTAGAGTTACCTTCACAGAATTATAGGTCTGAGATAAAGTGTGTGGTTGGTTTAGTTCTACGCCTTGATGCAAGACTTGTGTACCACGGGACACCCAAAAGCCCTTCAGAAGGCAGTTTATGCCACGTGAATTTCAGTTTGTGGGACAACCGTGCAGGCTGACAATGCTCGGTCTGCTTGGTATGTTATCTACCTGTCGACGGACGCAGTGGGTGCCGGGAGACAAATGGTTCCTTGGCTGTTTGGTTCTGTTCTTGCAGACAAAAGCATTTATAGGACAGAAGACAGAAGTACTAGAAAAATCCGCATGTTATGTCCCTGTGCGGAAGATTTGGGTGTTGCATGTTTTGGCTATTGACTTGCAATGAATTGCATAGTTGGCATAGTTTGCAGATTCCCCAAATGAGGCTTAGCATGTAATATTGAAGCCTTCTTTGAGTCAGATCGAGTCAGATGATTGATTTAGACGTTTAGACCTCCACTTCGTTCGCAGTGTTCGTCTCAAATCAGACATATAACGAACTTCCTCATGCGATGGCGAAGAACAGCAGCGGTTGGGGAGAGTCCCAATGGGTGAAGCGGGAAGAGAGAACCGGTTCAAAAGGAGATGGGATGACAAAGGGCGGCAAAAAAGGGCCAAAAGGGTCAGAAGGGGAAGGGCAAAGGTGACGGAAAGAAGGGATGGCGAAGAGAAGAGTGGAGAAGTGAAGAATTTGAGGAGAGTCGAAGTCAACTGAGCAGCCATGCTCAAGACTTCATCCCCTCTGGATTGTATGACTATGATTTTTTATCTCTTCAATACTGGGAGATGCAAAGTGACACGCATGGCTGGCGAGAATTCGCTGACCATGAAGGTACAAAGTATTACCATAACTCCAAGACAGGAGTAACTCAGTGGGAGCGTCCTCCCGAGCTGGATTTACCCCCAGAGACAAAAGTGAAGCCTGCCGAAGATGGTCAAATGAAAGGCTTCTCTCGCAAGAAAGATCCTCGAAAGGAGGGGAAAGGACATTTTGGAAAAGGTGGTTTGAAGGATTCTAACGGCCGAAAGGAGCGCTCCAAAGAGACCGGCACCAAAAAAGCTTCTTGTTACTAGTAAGGCCAGGAGCTACTAGTAGCGCCCTTGCTCCTAGTAGCGATGCCCTTTGTTCCTGGTCGCTTCTTGTTACTAGTAAGGCCAGGAGCTACCAGTAGCGTCCTTTCTCCTAGTAGCGTTGCCCTTTGTTACTAGTAGCTTTTTGTTATTAGTAGTAAGGCCGGCCAGGAGCTACTAGTAGCGTCCTTGCTCCTAGTAGCGATGCCCTTTGTTACTAGTAGCTTTTTGTTATTAGTAGTAAGGCCGGCCAGGAGCTACTAGTAGCGTCCTGCTTCTTGCTACTAGTAGTAAGGCCAGGAGCTACTAGTAGCGTCCTTGCTCGTAGTAGCGATTCCGGCCGAAAGGAGCGGTCCAAAGTTTCCAAAGAGAAAGAAGATGGAGTCTTTGGCCCACCTGGATGCAACTTGTTCGTTTTTCATCTACCCGATGAGTGGGGTGATGAGGATTTGATGGAGCCACTTGCAAGCACGCATATCTCCCAATTTGTCACATTTGTTCTTGAAACATTTCTTGAACGTAAAGCGACTGTAGCTTCCACTTTCGCACGGACATTGAACAGACTTTGGCAAGAAAACTCCGGTGGAGCCTTCACAGTACCGGTAGCATTGTCTAACGCTGTGAGAGATAAACTTGACCGAGGTACTTTGGGCCATACGGCAATATTGTGAGTGCTAAAGTGATGAAAGAGCTCGGGACTGGGCGTTCCAGGGGCTTTGGCTTTGTGAGTTATGAACTGCAATCTGATGCAGCTGCTGCCATCAAGAAGATGCAAGGCTACAAGATCCTGGGCAAGAGGCTCAAAGTTGAATTCAAGAAAGGTGAAGAACCAGAAGGCGAAGAGAAGAGTGAGAAGCAGCCTGCGAAGACAAGCTGTGATGACGAACGTTTGATTGGATATTTGCGAGCTATTTCCGCCCAGTCAGTGGTTCAGTCCTTGCAGGAATCGGCTGAAAAGGAAATAAGTCTAGACAGTGAACCGAGTCCGAATCCGGAATAATTCCAGTTTCACCTTTCTAGAATTTTCTAGATACGTCAAGCTGACGGAAAATGGGATTTCGTTCGACCGCATTCAAGATCATCCGAGAACCTGCGCAAGAAGGAATCCTTCCATATTTTCAAGCATCATTGAAGGAAGATAACAAATGGACAAAGGATGACAAAGGCTCAACCATTGTCCAAGTTGTTTATACCAACAGATTGACCACCACTGTCCTGTCGTGTGTTGTCGTGGCCGGTTGAAGATCAATGAAGCTACAGAGATAGAATGCGTTGTTTAAGCTTAAAAGCATCCCGGGCCCTGAACCATTGACACAAATTGTTCAGGTTTTAGTGCTAAACTACAGTGAAGACTTGTTTGATTGCACCATATTGTACTCAACGGCAAAGGTTGGAGCAACCTCCATTGGAACTAATGAACTACAAGTGCCAGCTGACACCACAAGAGATGCTCGTCAAGAAAACTTCTGCATATCATTTTGAGATGAGACCATCCTTAAAGGTTGGGTAGGTTGAAGGCCATCGCTCTTAGGTTGGAGGCTGTTTAGAGTGTCTTTTCGTTGCTATGATTGCCAGGATTTGCTGGCACCGTAACCTGTTTTGGATTTTCTTCTGTGCCTTGTTTCATTGTTTGAGCCTTGTTTCAGCTCAGCACTCCATTCGCAAAGTCTTTGCTTCGCTTTGAGGCCCCATTCAATTTCTTCACCCTGTTCACTCGTTCAGCTCTGGCGGAGCAGACAACTCCAGTCTTTTGGCTCTGAGAGCATTTCAAACAGAAAATTGGGATCGGATAGAGATCACCATCTAGAAGACTTAGCATTTTGGATCACCAGAAACTCAGCAGAGCACACAATTACAATGCATTCGTTTGGCAACATGCGAGCTCGACTGTGATCCTTAGGTTGCTTTGGCCTTGAGTGATACGATTGCCAGCATCTCCTCCATGGCCTTCCTTGACCTAGATCTTGACGAGGACAAAGATTGCAGAAAACTGCACACTCCCCAAGAGCACCTGTAAGCAAGATCGAATCAAAGTGGGCCTGTTTCACAGTCACTAGAGGTACATGTTGGTGGGCACAAGGTGTCGAACCCCAGAAAATTGCATGACCCCAACAGCCTCATCGCTGAAGAGGGGCCATGTAACGCAGGTGATCACCCAATGGTGCTTGTGTGGTCAGAGTCAGTCGAGAGAAGTACAGTAAATCTCTTACCTCAGACGACCCAACACTCACAGCACACTTCCACGACCCAATGCGGTAGTAACAAGTGCATCGCTAGTAGTAACAAGTGCCTTACTAGTAGTAACAAGAAGCTAGTAGAAACAATAAGCTAATAGCGACGCAATCGGTTCGGAACAATTGCAGGGATTTGCCTCTCGGTCAGATAACAAAAGGGCAGCAGTTTTTGCTGAAGGTGATGCCAAAAGGTTGAACACAATGGCACCAAACCACTTTTTTGGGGGTGCTAAAAGGTGAAATCCAAGCCACAAGGTGGAATCCTTTATGATTTTCTTTTACAGATTTAAGAAGCTACTAGGGGCTCCTGGCCGTACTACTAGGAGCAAGAGGACGCTACTAGGGGCTCATAGAGAAGCGTTTCAAGAAAATGGATTGCAGATCCCGCCTTTGGGTGCCTCCAAATGAGAACCATTCTAGCAGATTCTAGCATCGAGCAGCAGTTGCTTAGTCATGTGGAAATTGTGCACTCCATACAACGTCCAGCGTGGAAAAGACAACATACACTGAAGTGAGCCCAGGAGGAACTTGGTGGGACCTTTTTGTGGCAGCCTCCTGATGACCAGCAGCAGGCACCAGCTATTTACATTAAGTAGCATCGTAAGACAACGTACACTCCAGACACTTGTGGGCAGGGCCGGGCAGGGCTCTTCGACCGATCGTTGGTCTACATGTCGAGCGTATGAGTAAAAATCTACATGTTCGGTTTCGGTTTCAATCTCAAAGCAAGCAAAAAAGATTGTGGTATCTATAGATTGAACCGCGGAATCTGTAGATGTTTCTCGGTACCAAGCACGGTAGCTGTAGCCGTTTAAGTCGAAATAACAGACTCATTCGCGCTAGTAGCGTCCTTGCTCCTAGTAGCGATGCCCTTTGCTCCTAGTAGCTTCTTGCTCCTAGTAGTAAGGCCAGGAGCCCCTAGTAGCAAGCCCATGTGGTGTGTGCTATTTGCCAGGTATTCTCCTATGAGATCTATTTGAGCAACATTGGATCTACGGATGCAGGCCTTCATCCCAATGGAACCAAGGACCTCCTCCATTGAGCCACACTCATTCTTGATCACTCTTGATCATTCTCTACCTTTGCTCCTAGAGTCCTTTATCCACTTTATTGTTCTTTCTACCCCTTGTGTTTGAAAACCTCTCCTTCTTGTTTCTGCCATTTAGCATGCTTTATTATACGTGTGGTCAGGACTGGACTCAGCTACCTAATGGGAGTGTTCCGGTGGGCACTCACGACCTCCAGCTGCTCCCTGACACTATGCCGCAACTAATTTTGGATGTTTCATGGTGTTAGAAACAGATATTTTGGATATACGTTTCACAGGAGCATAGAAAATGGGTGCTTTGGGTTTTGGGTTTTCAGGATGTAAGCCTTAAGGATTATCCATCTGCGGCCAGCTTCGTCCTCATCTATACTCGATCTTTGTTGGTGGAACAGACCACTCCTGTGGGCTCTTTCTTGAATGACTCCGTGGCGTCGGTTCGCAATGTGTCCTTCACAGATTTGGATTTGGACAACTTGGAGCTGGGTGGAAACGTCCCTGGTCTTAATGTGATCCTATTTGAGCCTGCACGAGGATGGTGCATTCATAATGCATTCAGCATCATTCAGCATATTTTTCCTATAGCTTCCCTCTCTCAAGCGGCAGTCGTCCATGCAAGCTGTCCCCCTGGTTTCATTATTGCTATGCTATGGCCGCTATGGCCCTCATCTAGAAATATCGATCCATTCTCTATCTTCGCTTCTCCCCTGTCAGTTCTCTACCGCAAGAGGTCAACAAGTTGAGAAATCAGCTTCCTTTGACAAAGCTGGCGAAAGAGACAGGTCACATGGGATGATCCACCAGTAGAAGAGCAAGGATATCTAGCGGAATTCTTCGATGTCTACCTGTCCGAGGAGGGTTTTGCACTTGAGCTGAAACGTCCTGACACAATCATGTTCATGCTTAGTTCAGCTTCAGCTTCAGCTTCACGCTTTGGAGTCCAGCCATGTTGCAGGGGGCCTTCATCGGACGTTCACACATCCATTCAGCCCCTGCTGGAACAAACTTTGCATCGCTGGCACCAGAGACTGACATAAGGTGCAGCAGATTTTGTCCTCACCGGGCACAAACCTGAAGGTGTTTGGATATGTTTTCAGCGTCAACGTAGTTCGACTCTCAACGGCAGGTCCTTCTCGGAGATCTTGGTTTTCACTCGCTCCACATTGACAGAGCAGACCACGCCCAGATCCTTCCATCTCAGCGACGTCGGCCGTTACGTCCTGAATTTGAACTTCCCGGATCAGGAGAAATGAGAAACGACACGAGAAACAAAAATATTATATACAGTAAACATATATTATATATACAGTATCTGTATATATATATATACTAGTATGTATTTGTTGTATTACTTATGTGCACGCATGTAAACATGTTGAACAATTGCAGAGACCATCTCTTGCAGGATCTGGATGCTGGAGAGCTTGGTGGAAACGTAAGTTGGAGCGAGCCGCAGGAGACGCAAAGAATGTATGAGGGCGTAATCGCGCCAGAGCGGTCACTCAAGCCTATGAGGGCCAAGCATTGATCAACCAACAGGGCCAGGCATTCGCTTGGACCTTGAAAGTAATTAGAAAGTTCCTTGTAAAGAGTGACTTGCATCAAAGACCTGTAAGCTCCACAAAACCTGTTTGTCTTGCTAGTTGTGCCTCTTGACCATGAGACATCGGGCCACCGGACCGCTGTAGTCGTGCCTGATAGACTTGTGACCGATGTGACAAAGACTGTTCTGAAATGCTCCTTGAGCTCGGCTAGCCCAGTTGCTTTTTGAGGCAAAAGGTTCAATGCTTTGGATACCAGGACTCATCACTGGTCGCGAACTATGTGGTCTATCTCGCAGATTTGGGAGGCGATCGGGTTCAAGCAGCAGACACCACGGAGGAGCGGCTTTGATGTGTTTCCTTGACAACGCAAACAAAACTGTCAAACAAAGTTGTGGCTCGTACATAGCCATGGTATCCTTGCGAAATCCAAGCTCCAACAAAGGATGTAAAGGACCACATTGTTTGTGCTCAAAGCATTGGGCTGGCATTCCACAGAATTGACAGAGCTCCGAGGACGGTTGTACAGTCTGCTCTTTTTCGCAACTTTAATCAACATTTGAAATCACCTTGCAGGTTGGCTCTACCGTTGTAGCGATGAACCCTGACACATTGGTGCTCAACTATACCCATGTGGTTGTCTACACACAATCATCGCTGGTTGAACAAAGCACACCGCGAGCCATTAACATCAGTGATTCTGTGGCAAGTGTCTCTGGTGTGCAGTTTGTGGACGAGGCCGGGCAGCAGGATCTATGCTCGCCCCAGATGCAGCTTTTGGACTCACTACCGGCACTACCCTGACATTCTTTTTCTCAAAGCATCTCAAAATGTTCCGTTACGTGTGTTTTCTACATAATCAGAGCGCTCTAATGTTGCCTGGAGATGCCTGGAGCCCATAAAGCCTTCGTTCAAACAGGCGGCATCAGTCTTAGCTTTCAAGTGAACTCCAGTCTTTTTGAAAGCGCTGCGATATCAGTGGTTTCCATTTTGCAGGACTTGGATGTTTTGGAGTTGGGTGGAGAGATCCTTTGGACGAAGCCTCTGGATGACTCCTTTGTCACCTTCTACGATGTGTAACATAACAGCAAAAACAGCAAGCAGAGCGGTACGAAGAGTTTGTCGAAACTGAGTCAGAATCGGCAAGCCAGGCCAATCGGGGATTTTGAACCTATCACATGGTGGTGTTTGAACCAGGGTGTTTTCTGTCCAGATGTTCATTGCAAGATGACCAAGGTATTTAGGGAACAGCAGCATGGGCGCTTTTCGATCTCAGCTGGGCCTTCCTGTTCCAGTTGGCACTTTGCAGACGTTTGCACCAGTGGATTTGCCACAGGACAAGTGGGATTGAGCCGTTTTGTTTGTCAGGCTAAAAACTGAAGAACTACACTCCTCCTGACAGTTTGCGTACAGCAAGGGTGTTCTTGAGGGAGAAGGTTGTTACGAGCATAGCCATGAGGCGACCCGAGTGGATTGGATGGAGCGTTGATTTCATGATGTCATGCCTCTCGAATTATTCTCATACCACTGTTGTCCTTCAAGGTGTGGCGCAGGTAGCACACGGTCCCACACGTAGCAGAGTCCGTTTGCTTGGTTGAATGAGGCTTCTTTCTGTTCTCACCTCTCACCAGTTCTTTCATAGTCACTTTCATATCCTTTCAGCTCAATGCACAGGAACTCCGCTCTCACATTCTGGTCTACACTCGTTCGGTCCTTGTTGAGCAGTCAACACCTACCGCAATTGAGATCAGTGACACGGTTTCCGATGTGCTCAATGCAGCTTGGTCAGAAAATGGTACGTAAGGAGTCATGTCTTTGTCCATCACTGCAGGTGTTGACAAATTGTTGAATAGGGCAGGCGTTGACACATCAATGTTTCGTGAAGAAGTCTAAGAAGGAACCCGTGAACTCAGCTAATTTTGGAGGAATCCATCAGGTCACATTTATTGATGAAGATTTGGATTTGCGTGATTTGGGCGGCTACATCTCCTGGGAGCACCCTCTTGACGTGAAGCAGGTGACAGCTTATCATGTTTACATTTCGTGCCCAGACAGCAATGAGGCAGTCTGAATTTCACTAAGAGGGCGGATCTCAGGCAGGATCCTGCTGGATTGGGTCGTTCTCAGATTTCCGAGATCTTGGTCAATGAGCAGCTTCCACTGCACTTACGCAAGCTTCCAGCAAGTCATCATGGCTCGTTGCCACAAGATCTGAGGTCCCTGCGGGCCTTTCTGAGATCTGATCAACCGCTGTCGCAATACACGGATGTGCTAGTTTACAGCGAGTCCAGCCTTGCCGAGCAGACAACTCCTGTGGTCCTTTGTCATGTTTCATACTTGTGTTTTGACTGTGATGAAACTGAGAACTGAAGGTTCTTCAGGCATTTTTGCTAACTGTGTTTGTGACATGTTGTTCTTCACCGTTCTTTCCGTCTTTGATCCTGCTATACAGCTTTGACAAGCGGCGTTGGCACCAAGACTTCCTGGACATACCATATACCCAAACCATCCATATGTGTTGATTAGGCCTTGAAGATTTATGATGCGGAGTCTCTCGTCATCAATGCCAACTTCACAGACCAGGTGAGGCTGACCAGTACCATGCAAACAGCCGTTCAACTTTGTGCGAAGCCGTTCACTCAAGAAAGCTTCCATGAAGTTCAGACTTTTGAACATTACGATTTGTAGTCATTTGTCTTTGGATGTCTGTAGGATCTGGATGGAGAAGAGCTGGGTGGAACTGTTGAATGGCAACAATCCGGCGACTACCACTTGGTTGTCGCGTATGATTTGTACCTCTACCGTATACCAGTTGTTGAGCAATATTTTGGCAATGTGCAAGTCAGTCTGTCTCAACTCAGAACAGACAGTCACTCCAGCGACCTTCCCTAAAACATTGTATATACATGGGACATGCAGGTGGGAGTAGCAACATTGCAAATGCAATGGACGGAGCGGTTCTATAAGTGGGGAAGTTCCCTAGAGTAAGAAATGCGTTGACAGCCATATGACCGAGATCGTTTGATCTCGCTGGATCTTGGTTTGCTACTGATTCTCAGGTACCTCGCTAGAAGTGCCAGTGGAGTATCTCGATCTCGCCTCAATGTAGCTTGGCTTTTGAAAGGGTCAGATGAGCATACGGAGCAGCAATGCATCAGCAAGTCTTTAGGAATCATTGGCCTCTGACGTTTTCCGGCTGGATCTGGCTCCGGAGTTGCCGTTGGACATGGCCACACACGTGGTGATCTACACACGCTCTTCACTGGTAGAGCAAACTACGCCAGTGGCAATCAATATCAGTGATCCTGGCGTTATTCAATACTGCTTTAGTGTTGCAACGCAATTTTCTTCAAGATGTGTTATTCTTTTTTTCAAAGAATGAGTACAGTACCGGGTCCTTTGTATGGATTTCTCCTTTCCAGCATTTTCTTGCACAGGGGCAGTGAGAGGTGGGGTGTACTAGTAATTAGTAAACGGCATACGGTATAAGCCTTATACATAGGTATAGAGTATAGGGTGTACACCTGTCCTGTAATGGTGAATTTGAACATGTTCATCGTGAGAGCTGAACCACGGGATGAGCTAGGCGATGCTGATTGGAACGTGCAGTGGGTGTGGCTCACCTGAATGATAACACATGCTGGCCAAAACGTGTTCAGACCCAAGTGGAGCCAGCAAACGGCTATTGCTATTGCGGCATTGCGGTCCAAAGATGTGAAACTTCAAGCCGATATCAAGAGATCACATGCAGGTCTTTCTATGACATGGATTTGGATGGTGGGCAGCTTGGAGGGGGCATCAGCTGGGCAGCACCGGCAGAACTGACTTTAGTCACCCACTACGTAGTCCCTCGGTTCAGATTGCTCTTTCGACCAGCCGCTGGCACGCAGAACCTTCCTTTGGCCCCTTCTGTCTTGATTTTGTTCTAGAAGTGACATGTAGACTGGCACGAGAGGGCTTTTTATAGAGAATGTCAACAAGTTGGTACCTTTTCAGACGGCTTTGACACCCTAGTCGTTGCATGCTGCAGGCATACCTTGCGGCCAATGCTTCGGGAGATCTTCGATCTCAAATCGGATCGCATGTGCCAGTGGGGACGAACTATGTGGATTTGCCGCCAGAGACACCAATGGATGGACAGGGCTGGAAAATTCGCACAATTGTTACTACTAGTAAGGCACTTGTTTCTAATAGCTTCTTGTTACTACTAGTAAGGCACCTGTTACTACTAGCGTGGCACTTGTTACTAGTAGCGATGCACTTGTTCCTAGTAGCTTCGAATCATCTAAGATTTGTTCAGCTGTCGTATTTCTCATGTTGGCCCCAGAGGGATCAGCTCTTTCCCAGTATAGGCTTCATCCGTAGCTCTAAACGATGTTCAACCTTCAAGATTCCTGTAGATACTCCAATCACGAACCTGAACTTTGTGTGGTGCCGCTGTTTCGCAGGAGTTCTGACAAACATCGTTGTCTACACAAAGTCGGCGCTGGTGGAACAGACCACACCAACTTCAATGGAAGTGAATGACACCTCTTCCTCTGTTTCCAACATTGTGTTTCTTGGACATGATGTGAGGGCTAATTAGAAGATATGACATTATCCATCCGCAAACTGCAGAACCTTGTGCGATAGCCAAGCGTTAAACTTTTGAAGTTCCTGCAGTTTTGTGAGGGGCCCAGAGACTCGGTTTTGAACATTAGGTTTGTGGATAATGACTTGGACGAGATGGAGCTGGGTGGCAACATCACTTGGTCGACACCAGTAGATTCATCGCAAGTGACTCTCTACTCTGCGCCTTGGGTTCGTTGAGTACCTCCACTGTTTGATGCGGAATGCACATGTAGGCTTATTTAAAAAGCAGGGCAATGTAGTCGCTCTAAACACTCCAAAGATGCTCAGGTCTACCTGTCCACCAGCTTTGATGCTGAAAACCGGTCCATCGTGGCAGAGGATGTTTCCATTGGCACGAACACTGCACTACTGCCGGCAGAGACTGCGATGCGAGACTTTGCAGAGAGTGGGGTTGCACGTAGGCTTTCGAGCTTGTCCAGTCAAATGCAAAAGTCTCAAAGACCTCTCAACTGTTCTCAGTAGTTTGGTTTACAGGCTTACAGGACTTCAGCGATGTGCTGGTGTGATACTTGCAGCTTGAGATGCACATAATCATCTTGGTTTACAGCAGCACGGCCGCAGCCCAGGATGGTTTACATACGTCAACATCTACACAAAGTCTCCAGTGATTGAGCAGACAACGCCCGCCTCACTTTTTATCTCAGATACAATCGCGTTGCTTGGCACATTCAAGGTTGACCAATAATACAAATTGCATGTCAACATACCCTGAATATCCCTGAATCACAATTCGTCACTACATAACCACAAAGCTGTGAAGAATGGGACGATGGGACCTGCTTCGGGACAAGCCGATGCGGACCTCGAAGGCTCATTGCAGATCTTGAACTCGTCGATCAAGACTTGGATGCCACTGAGATTGGAGGGAACGTCTCGTGGAAAGTCCTCCAGGATTTCGCTTTGATCTCGCATTTCTCTGTGTGCCCTGTTGATATTGTGAATGTAATAGAAACATGGATAGAATTGCTAGGATTTCCACAGTCCAAAGGTCAAAAAGGTGTTGCCTATTCTTGTGGGAAGTTCCTTGGCTGCTTGTGATGTTTGCTGCTTTGCGGATTGGCATCTTCAGGTACTTCACCGATGATACTTCTTGGCAAGCTGCAAGACTCCGTGCTGGTCAGGACAGACCCACCGATTGCTTTTGTAACATGCAGGTGTATCCGTATCCCGAACTCTGTTACGGGTTATAAGTTATAAGTTATACAATATTACATTTTATAGAGCTCATAGAGATAGACAGACCGTATTTAGTTGTGCAGTTCGTTAGCATTACATGGTATGCATTTCTAGTCGTGAGGATGTACAGGCTTCAGAGTATGCGGAACTCTTCATTCCAGCGGAGACTGATCCCCCGTTGGCCACATACGGCTTCTCGGTTTGAATCTGCAATCAACGGATCGCCCATCATCTCTTTGTGCTTCAGGATTCAGAACAGCACAGGCAGAGTGTCCAATTCCCACAAGCTTGATTCTTCCTTTGCTGCACTTTTGTAGTAATTAGCTACATAGACGAGCAAGATCAAACAAAGACTAGCGGGCTTAGCAGTAGTTGTCGGTCGAGGATTTGTTTGTTGAGGTTTTCTGTCGGTCTTTCCTTCATCTTCCTTAGCTGAGCGGACCACACCCTTCTCAGCTGTCATCAACGACACCATCTCTCCCGCTGCTTACCTTCAAGAAGGTAATCATAGGTAATCAATGCAGGTGCAAACAGACTGTGGGGCTGGATGTTCCAAATCGTCCAAGGTCTACAACATTAGCTTCGTGGATTTGGATATGGATTTGCAGGAGCTGTGATGCATACACTGTGTGACATTTAGAAGCTGGCGGAATTGGCAGGACTTGGGCGGCACAATCGCGTGGAATGAGCCTTTGGAAGCTTCACAGGCCAAGCGTTCTCACGCGACAAGATTTTGCCAGAAGGAATCTAAGAGCGCCCTGTCACGACGAGGTGACTCACTACTTGGTGTACTTGACGATGAATGCCAGCGAAGGACAATCACTTGTGGCCGAGGCGAGATGGGAAAATGAAGCCAGACATTCTTGTTGCCCTCCACATCTCTTTTGCGACACTCATGTTTTAATGGCTGTTCGAGATTGAATTACATGTGTGTAGCCTTCCCGACCTGGCAGATGATACATAGTACACGATGCAGTTATGACTTTTGACTGCTCAGTTTGTCATTTGGCGAACTATGAGTAGTTCTTATAGTCTTAAGGGTCGCAGCTGCTGTGCTTAAGTTATCACACCCTTCAAGAAAGCAATGGAAGGTGCCTTCCACTGATGTCTTGGTTCAGCTGGCGCCAGAGACACCTGCACAGACCTTTATAGCTCCTTGGACCATTTTGGACCATTTGTGTATTGCCAGCTGAATGGCCCATGGGACGGCGGTAGATCACAACTGACACAACTCTAACCTAATAGCTTACAACCTACTAGCGACGGCCTCCAACCAAATAGCGACGGCCTCCAACCTAATAGCGATGGCCTCCAACCTAATAGCGATGGCCTCC